CGGTCCCAGACGATGCTGCTGTTTTCGAGGCATCTGCATCACCCCTTTCCACCATTTTGGCGGCCCCATGCTACTTTCGGCGAGACCAAAAGATCTCCGGCTTTACCAGAAAAATCGGAAGTGTCAAAAAAACTGTGAGTATATTTTGCCTCCGGTAGATGAACAGGAGGATATGGAGACAGAAGAAGGGCAGAAATCCGAAATAAAATCCGGAAGACAAAAAATAAGTCAAACTCTAACTTGAACAACAGAAGGCGGGAGGATCTGCTGATTGGCTCACAGGTGAATCCATAAAAATAGTGCTACAAGACAGGAAGATGGGAGGGAGGGGGCGCAGGCGGGGGGTTATCACAGAGACTTATTTCGAGATATCATCAGGGCCGATTAACTCGGCCACCAGCACGCTTGCTCAAATTGAACCAATCAGAGAAGCAGCAACGAGAAGTGGGGAAGAAGAGAGAGAGAGAGCAATAGACAAAGTCATAGGAATGAGTATTGTGAAGAGGTCTTGCTCTAAGAGCAGGAATGTTAAGAAGATGGCGCGCGCACAGGGTCCCAAAACGGTCTCAAATGATATCCTGCTCTAATCGGATTTCAGCGAAGCCGGAATTGCGGGAGGGAGGATAGTAAAAACTGGTGAAACGTGTGTCAAGGATGGCGCCATCATCGGTGGCGAATACGGGGAAGACGGTGCCACGGATGCCGATGAGGCCATTCTGGAAGACGACCGGCTGGGGTTCTTCCGCATTGGAGGAGGTCGGGGCCAGGCGCAGTTTCACGGGGATGCCGTTAACCGCAAAGGTGAGCTCCGCATGGTCGTAGTAGAGGCCAATCACGTCGCCCTCCTCTACCGGAGTGTCAAGATGCGCCTGTTTGACGGATCCATTCCAGATGCTGCCGTCGCTGAACAGCGCCCACACACTGTTCTGTTCTCGTAGGCCCCTCAGGGTATTCAGGTCGGCCTGTTGATTGCGACATAAAAAATAATCAAGAATAGGAATAAACGCAAAAAAGGTGAATGCATGTGTAAAATAAGCTGAGCAGAAAGCATATTTGGCCCATGTTTCTGGTGAGAAAGAGAGAGGGAGAGATAAATTGAATAAATACGGTGATGGGAGCGAAACTTAATGATGTCGACGCGACCACCGATGCGCAAAGAGAAGATTATTTGGTAACAGCCTATTAATGTAACAACAGAGAAACCAAAATCCCAGCATTCTATAGTACGGAACCAGTGGTCAAAGAGATTATACGGATGGGGCATTACAGGAGAGCAGGAAGGAAAAGAAAAAAACGAGGCAAACAAATGCAGGGTAAAAGTAAACAAAATTATTATAAAAACGAATGGTAAGGATTACTCGTGGGGTCTTCGAAAGGTCCACCTACTTACAAATTTTAAGTAGGTTGAATTACCCACAATCTTCCAGTTTTCTATACGCCGGCCCTC